AGAAAATTCAGGAAGTTGTAAATTGGGTTTGAGGGCAGGCCACAGTAATTTATCGAATTTGTACTTTCAAAATGGTTAAAGATGCATATTATGCTAGACTAGTAATGTATCCAGCTATGTTCAGTGCCGAAATTCGTCCGGGGCCAAAATTTGCTCAGAGCTCAAATTTGATGTCCTAAAACATTTACAGCATCATGCTTGTTAATTTGATACCACTTATGTGGCAGTGGCGCGCGGCAATAAATCGTGACAGGCGAATAAACCCACATCTTTGATTTTATTTATATAGATTTAGATAAAGAGCTGACCGTTCTTGATATAGCAGTTCAAAAATATATGATGAAAAATGAGATATATATTGAAAATTTCATTCAAATTACTTTATTCTGGTTGAAGTTATGACTGTTCAAAGTCTTGATTATCTATTTTATTGTTACATTTTTTAATCTCACGGATGCTAGAATCCATTTACATCTCGGCCATTCAATGATCCAGAGACTTGATTATGGGCTTGTCATGTGAATAAATATCTAAATAATAACTTATATAACATTTGGAGCCAAATTAAAGACCTGCAATAGGCAGATTTAGATCTTTAACATTTTCTGGAAACATTCATTTAAAGCTAATTTAGCTGTTCAAAAAATGTAAAAATATTCCATAAAACTTTGGATGGGGACATTCACACCTGCACCTCCTTGTAGGTCTGCTACTGAACCATTGAACCATGTGTTAGTCCTAACATTGCCTAGTTGAGTGGGCGTTAAGCCCTTTTCTCTTGTGCACACTGGGACACATTCGGGTAGATCTTAGTTTAGACCGAATTAATGGGTCACGTGTGGGCAGATTCAAACTTAGACCCAATCAAGGGGGGTAGGGTGATCCGAATGGTTAACGCGTGCACGTTGAATCAGTAGGTCTGTCATTGAATCATGTGGCGGGGTTTTGATTCCACGCTTGTACGAGACTAGGAGTAGGGTCGCCTGTCCAATCTTGTGGGTTTTCTCTGGGTCCTTCGGTTTCCTCCCACTGCTAAAGACCCCTACCCACAAGTGAATTATTGAAATAAAATTGAACCATATGTGTTAGTCGTGAAATGACCTAGTTTGTGTCAAGTGGATGTCTCTCTCTCACTCTCTCCATCCCCCCCCCCCCATCAATCGAAAAAACAAATCACAACTATGTGAAGTGTCACATTCGTTAACCCAAGGCCTGTGTTGATGTTGATTACAGCCCCTCCCCCTCTCTTCCCATCATCCTGGAAATAAAACCAGCCCCTATTCCAATCTGTCCAATTTCCAGGGTATCTTACAGTCTTGCTATATATTCTCCATCTATATTTATGTCAAGTTTACTTTAAGATCTATATATCTAATAGTACAGCTACAAAGATATATTAGACAGCCGTGTAATTAGGTGTAACTTTTACTAGATTTTATAAGTGGCAACAAACCGTTAGATAATTGTTATAACATATTTCTACCAGAAGATGGTTCTACTATCTATTATAATATAACATCATTCTTGACAAGCTCCGAGCTAGATGAGCGAAAAAGTACTGTAAAAACGTTAAAATGTTATTAAACCAGTGAAGCCACCTTTTATATTTCATTGTTTGCTGTGGAACAAAGTAGAGCAGCTCTACGATTGTGCTAAAATTTTTGGATATATATACACTAGAGGATGGTTCTATATTCAACCAAAACTTTATAATTTCACTGAGACACATTTGACTGTTCTTCTGATATGATCAAGCCTGGAAAAAGGCACCTGTCGTATATTGTCCGGCACAAATTCTGACTTTTCACAACGCCAAATCCAATTTGAAGATCCCTCTTGGCCCATGCTGGGATTCAACCCAGAAACATTCTAGCTTATAATCAGGTTACTCATTACTTATTTGCAAGGACCTGCCCCCTCTTCCAGAATCAAATAATCATGTATGCCTGTGGCCACATTATCACATAGTTAAGGCATTTGATCTATTTTGACAATGAATTCATAAGGTAACTCAATGAACTATTGCCATAAGGAAATACCTCTGCAATATAAGTCAGTAAAATCTATTGTTTCTATATAAGAGTCAGTGTGATAGCAACAATTACAAGATCAAATATCACGGACATCTAAAGATTAAAACAAGATTAAAACTTGTCTGTTTTATCATTAAATAAAGCTCTGTTTATTTTATTTAGTAGATCTGATGTAGACATTAGAAAGACCTTCTTCCTGTTTAGATTTAACTCTTATCTTCAATACCTACACATTATTATCATGTTTTATCACTAAATCGGCCTTTTATCTACTTAATTTCTACCAAAAGAATAATAAATCCCAAACTTTCATCTTCATTGAATACCTCCAGGAATAATTCCAACATGTTTTTATCAATTAATAAGGTACTTATAGAGAAACTTAATACTATGTTCGTGGTTTTTTAATCTCCAGAAGTACAATAATGCTACCTTAGAATTACTGCCGACACAGTGAAATTTAAATAACAGAATGTTGTTTTCTTCATCAGCCTTGGAATATAATGCCTGATTGGGTCTGTACAGCACAGTGGACACTTACTGGTACATTCACTTTTTGTTTGTTGCTTGCAATATCTGTGTAGTTTGTTTAGTGTCTGTAGGTTTCTCTTATCGTTTTTGTTTGTGTGTAGTGCAGTCCTCCTGCACTTACTTATTAAAGCCGCTGATTGTCATTTAAGGGATTTTAAACTATGTACTTATGTGGATATCATATTTAAAATTTTATTTCATTATTATATAAATGAAATTAAATGAAATGGGGTTTAATGTCCTACTGTTCTGCTCCGACAGGCTAATATATAATGAAGACGGCTCATTATTATATAAGAAAAAGTACAGAGATTTCTGTCATTTATGTACAAATTATGTTGAAAGTCCATTCTTCATCTGAAAAATAATGAATTTCTTGCAAACTACAATTTGTGAAAATGAAATGAATTGGGGTTTAACATCCTACTATTCTGCTCCGAATCGGCTAATGAAGATGGGCATATGCCATACAATGTGCAATGAGGGAAATTTTGCTCAGACAGCGAAGCTATGGCCTACTCTTATATCAAATTCCAAATGCCAAGGGATCTTTTATGTGCACACCAATGTATACACATGACCTTGGTCCTGCACGCTGACATGGGGGTAACCATGCCAGAAAATTCTGGTGAACTTTCTCAGGCAACACCCGGATCGAGCCTGTGACCTCCAAACTAGCGAGCCAGCGCCTTAATCACTGTGGCTCCCTATTTACAATATACAGACAATATAAAGAAAGCAACCGCACTAAAAGTGTTGGGTAAAACCTTTTAATATGCCCTTTTTAAAAGGGTTGAACTGTGAAGGGAAGATCTACCGCTGATATTTGGTTTTGTGTTAAATAATTAATCAGAGTACATTTCTGCATGAATTAAACCTGTGAAAAACTAGAAAATGGCTGAAAAATGAAATTCAGCCAACTAGTATTCTAGATCTACAGAAAATGTTTAAAAAAAAAAATATAAATAAAATATTATGTATTGTATCCAAAATTTTATTTTTAAGGAACTTGTATTAAGTAGTCTGACATTCTGATTTTTCAACTTGGTTCATTGTGAAATATTTCAACATTTTTAAAAGGTTTTTAAATCTAACAGGAATTTTTGTGTCGTGGAAACACAAGCTACAAAATAAAATCATGGCAGAATTTACATAAGCTGACAGATTCCAAGATTAAAACAGAGATAATCTTTCTTTACAACAGCAACAAGAAAAACTTTATACGGTTTTAAACTCTTAGTGTATTGTAACATTAGGCCAAATGTCTACAATGTTTTGTATTTCAAAAATTGTATTCTGTCTTATATGTGGGTTGAGAATCAAAACCATGTCACTTGACTCAACATGCTATTAATTCTTAGATATGAGATCAGTGACAGACCTTATGATCTAAATCAACTTGCTATGATCAGGATCTTATAGCCCATTCAGACACTTAAGTTGAACTGGTTTAAAAACCCCGGGGATCGTTAAACCAGTTTAACTTAAGCGCCTGAACGCAAATGTGGGGCAAATAAACCAGTTTAAAAACCCCAGCTCGCGACCTGTCTTAGGCGTCTGAATGGGTTGGCTTAAAACCCCCGGGTCCAGCTTGCTTTGAGCATAAGCAGTACGCATAAAGTTGCATTCCTGTGAAAATATCGGGGTCAGACAGTGCCAATGTTATCGAAAGCGTGCGAGAACGGAATAAAGAATATAAAGCTACCCATGCGTAGTTAACTTTAACCTCCGACCGAAGAGGTCAGAATAGTTAAACTGGTTTGGCTTATAGTTATAGTATGTGTGAACGTGTGGGCCTGACAAGGACAGCTGTCTAGTCATCCATATGGGACAAAAACGAGGTCATGTGTACACATTGGTGTGCATGTAAAAAATCCCTTTGCAGTTCGAATTCAATATAAAAGTAAGCTGTAGTGCCGCTGTCCAAGCAAAGTTTCCCTCATAGCATACTGTATGGCGCATGCCGGTCTTCATTAGCCCTGATGAAGCAGAACAGTAGGAAGTTTATACCCCATTTCATTCTTCACTACTGACAAGTGGAAACAACGCATGAAAAACCTAAGGAACTTTCTGAGCCAGTGAATGAGTCAGTGCCTTACTCACTGAGTCACAGTGGCTCTTACAAGGTGAAAAGCTTCAACACTTTGATATGGTACAAAAACTTTCACACAACAAAAATTGTTAGTCAAAAACAGTAAGATAAAATTGAAATATATTAGTTACTGAAATTATAATCTAGTTCTATTTCAACAAGGGATATACTACATATTAATATAACTATGGAAGGCACAGAATCTGACTGGAACTTTCATCTTTTGAAAAATATCAATCAAATTTCAATCCAGTTTTATTACGTGGGAAATACTACATATTAATTTCACTACATATAAGGCATAACAACACTTCTACTGGATCTGACTGGAGTTTTTTTTTTACCTTTCGGTGTTCTATATGTGACCTGATCTGACCGTGGGCCAGTACCTTCACGGGTTACAGCTTGTATTCTAAAATAGTATGTGGTATCAGCTCTCAAGTCAGTTATAGTCGTGGACAACCTGTTACCTATAACACGCTTCTGTATCCAAATTTCACCTTTTGTATACCCTATCACATAATCTGAAATACAAAAAAACCAACATTATTTTAGGACTGCATTTCATGGAGTCAGTTTTGTCCATTTCTGGTGATTTCAATAGGTCTGGTACGAAGGTAATAATAACACTACAGTTGCATTTCTTATGTCTATGATTTATTTAATGGTTATACTTGTTGCTGGCAAAAGTTTGTTTTAACCAAATTGATCTATCTTTTTCAGGCTTAGAACTTTTCAGCCAGCCCTCGTACATCCCCGGTAGGGTGGTTAAGTTTTGGGTGGTCTGAGGGCTAAAGAAATATGAAGTTCAAATAAACTGATAAATAAACAATTGGAAAAAAAAAATTACCTGTAATATTTCCATTAGATACGGCCGGTGCCTGCCAACTTAATACAACTGATCCATGATTATCTCGATTCGTAGCAAATGTTATATTATGAGGGTACAACTCCTGTCTAGAGGTCTGTGATTCGGACCCTGTCTTCTCTGTTCTGTTCTGTGTCGTGTTTACATAACTCGAGTTTCTAGATGCGGTACGATCCTTTATCAAAACTAGAACCAGAAAATGGAATCAAGTCCTTGAAAGTCTGAGAACATGCAGGATGTATTATTCCTCTCAAAATCACTACATAGATATATTTACTATATCAAAATGACTACACATGTATATTTACTATATCAAAATATTCATATACAAGATATAGTTTATATTTTTCAAATTGTATTCAAATATTCAAAATATTTCACACAGTTTGACTGAGAAAGAAAGTTCTGTACTATTAAAATCTAAATGGCTGCTATTTTATTTAGTTCTGTAAAACCAGTAAATAAAGATAGGTTGCCAGGCAACGAAACATACGCCCACAGCAGCTAAATCGTCCGGGCAGTCAACAAGAGTTGTCGCATATTTTTACTTTTTTCAGTAATGAAACATTTATAATACACTAAAATCTGATTAAGAGCAACAACTCAGAAAACCATTAGAATTTGTTTGGTTTTTATAAAGTTCTGCCCCATGCTAACGTTTTGTATACAAAACTTTTAATACTGTATCATGGATTTAGCTGTTCCAAGTCATAAAAATTCATTGAAAATCAATATACTTGTTCGTCTTAAGATCATAAACTCTGTGTATCAATCTGAAGTCAATCGGATATTAACTTTGGCCTCTAGAGCGTCCACAAGATTTTTCAAAGTGATCAAGGGCCATAACTTTGGCAGTAATTATCAGAAATCTTTGAAAATCAATAGGATTATTCGCCTTGTGACCTCAAACACTGTGTATAAATTTAAAGTCAATCAGATATTAACTTTAGCTTTTAGAGCATCCACAAAATTTTTGAAGTGATCAAGGACCATAACTCTGGCAGTAATTATCGAAAATCACTGAAAATGAATAGACTTCTTCGTCTCATGACCTTAAACACTGTGTATAAAATTTAAAGTCAATCGGATATTAACTTTAGACTCTAGAGCGTCCACAAGATTTTTCAAAATGATCAAGGGCCATAACTCTGGCAGTAATTATCGTAAATTGCTGAAAATCAATAGGATTCTTCGTCTCATGACCTTAAGCACTGTGTATAAATTTAAAGTCAATAGGATATAATAACTTTGGCCTCTAGAGAGTCCACAAGATTTTTTTGAAGTGATCAAGAGCCATAACTCTGGCAGTAATTATCAGAAATCGCTGAAAATCAATAGGCTTCTTCGTCTCATGACCTCAAACACTGTGTATAAATTTAAAGTCAATCAGATATTAACTTTGGCCTCTAGAGCGTCCACAAGATTTTTTGAAGTGATCAAGGGCTATAACTCTGCAGTAATTATCGGAAATCGCTGAAAATCAATAGGCTTCTTCGTCTCATGACCACAAACACTGTGTATAAATTTAAAGTCAATCGGATATTAACTTTGGCCTCTAGAGCGTCCACAAGATTTTTTGAAGTGATCAAGGGCCATAAGTCTAACAGTTATTATCGGAAATAGCTGAAAATCAATAGGCTTCTTTGTCTCATGGCCTTAAACACTGTATATAAATTTAAAGTCAATCGGATATTAACTTTAGCCTCTAGAGCGTCCACAAGCAATTGTGCACGCCGGACGGACGCGACGACAATATACGACCACATTTCAATGTGGGCGTATAAAAATGTTGTTGTGTAAACACTGTGATAATTACAAGGGATGTAAGCACTGTGATACAAGATATGTAAACACTGTGATACAAGATATGTAAACACTGTGGTACACGTGTAAACACTGTGGTACAAGAGGTGTAAACACTGTGATACAGGTATAAATACTGTGGTGTAAACTGTAATGTAAACAGTATGTGATACAGGTGTTAACACTGTGATCAACTAATAAAGATTAAATCAAACTTATTTTAATTCTAATGACAAGCAAGCATGAAGCGCGTAGTACATAACATTTACACTATGGTTTTACTTTATACGAAAATACTGTTTTGTTATTCAAAACAATTTCTATAACCTACAAAAAATCTGTATTAAAAATCTACATACAGTTCAGTATCTTAATTTACAACATAAAACAAGCATGCTCTATGAATTATTTTACATCTAAAACAAGCTAACAATGTAAAACCTTGTTGGGATATAAGGATGAATGTTTCCACAAATGTAGCTAGGTTGTTTTACTTTACAAAGGGGTCGGAACGTTTAACCAGAATGTTAAATGATAATAAACTCATACAGACGATTATAGACTCCTCATCTCCAATAAATGGGCTGGGATGTTCAACCAGAAGATTATAGGTTCCTCATCCCAAATAAAGGAGTTGAGATATTCAACCAGAAGATTGAATATATCTCATCTCAAATAGAGGGGACATTCAACCATTCCAAATAAAAGGTTGTTCAACCAGAATATTATAGTCTTCTCATCTCAAATAAAGGGTTTGTGATTTTTAACCAGAAGATTAAATGATTATAAACTCATCTTAAATAATGGGTTGATATGTTAACCAAAAGATTATAGAGGGGTTGGGATGTTTAGCCAGAATAATGCTTGTAGAAAGCTCATCTTAAATAATAGGGTTGGGTTGTTTAACCAGAAGATTATAGACTCCTCGTCTCAAATAAAAGGGGTTGGGATCTTCAACCAGAAGAAATAATGATTATAGACAGTTCATCTTAAATAATAGGGTTAGGGTGTGCAAACAGAAGATTATAGACTCCTTAGCTCAATTAAAGGGGTTGGGATGTTCATCTAAGAAGAAATAATGATTGTAGACCGCTTATCTCAAATAATTAGGTTGGATGTTCAAACAGAAGATTATAGACTCCTTATCTCAAATAAAAGGGATTAGGATGTTCAACCAGAAGAAATAATGATTATAGACAGTTCATCTTAAATAATAGGGTTAGGGTGTGCAAACAGAAGATTATAGACTCCTTAGCTCAATTAAAGGGGTTGGGATGTTCATCTAAGAAGAAATAATGCTTGCAGACAGCTCATCTCAAATAAAGGAGCGGGGATGTTTAACCAGAAGATTGTAGACTCCTCATATCAAATAGCGGGGTTGGGATATTCAAGCTGAAGATTATAGACTACTCATCTCAATTAACGGGTTTGGGATGTGTAGCCAGAAGAAATAACGCTTGCAGACAGCTCATCTCAAATAAAGGAGCTGGGATGTTTAACCAGAAGATTGTAGACTCCTCATATCAAATAAAGGTAAGATTATAGACTCATCATCTCAGGATGTTAAACCTGGTTAGTGAGCCAGTGTCTTTCTCACTGAGTCAAAGTAGCTATTGTAAGGTGAAAGGCAACAACACTTTGATACAGTACAATATTATTCACACAACAACAATTGTTAGTCAAAATAAAATGGAAATATATTAGTTACTGAAATTATAATCTAGTTTTATTTCAACAAGGGATGTACTACATATTAATATAACTACGGAAGACACTATGACACTTCTACAGGATCTGTCAAAATCTGAAAGGAGCTTTAACCATTTGAAAAATATCAGATACTGAAATTTCAATCCAGTTTTATTACAAAGAGGGAAATACTACATATTAATTTCACTACATAAGGCATTACAACACTTCTACAAGATCTGGCAAAATCCTTATTGAGTTTTTTACCGCTTGGTGTTCTATATGTAATGATGTCGGTCATTGGACCATAACTGTAACGATTTCTAGCTTGTAGTCTAAAATAGTAGGTGGTATCTGGTTGTAAGTCAGATATAATTGTGGACAATCTGGTGCCGACAACAGCTTCTACAGACCAACTACCCATATCTGTCTGACTCTTAGTCGAATAATATATCACATAACCTAAAATCAGAGCAAAATAATCATTCATTTCGTTATTTTATTAAGCCTATAATCAAAGTTTTAAGTGAATTATGAGTTTAGTTTTTATTGTAAAATGTATATATTTATAATATGTTATATATTTTAATATATATATTTCATCTTCCTAGTCATAAATAAATGATATTATACACCATCCATTCTTTTATTTGTTCTTTTTTCAGGGCTTGGGAAATACAGAGGTGGGAACAAGTCACCGCACCTCGAGTTCAAGTTCAGTCCCAAGTCACTGACTTTAGTACCAAGTCGAGTCAAGTCCCAAGTCTTCACAAATCCTAAGTTTGTTCAAGTCGCTAGTTCATCAAATGAGTCAGCAATTCATGGTGAATAAGGTACGTTAGAGTTATGCCCCAAAGCTCTTTACGTTGCTAGTTGTCCCGACTGCCAAGTCCAAGTCGAGTCTTGAGTCGCAATGAACATTTCAAGTCTAGTCAGAAGTCAGGTCATTGATGCAAATAAGTCGTACAAGAGTCTGAGCTGCGGGACTCCAGTTCCCACCTCTGGTGAAATGTTATCCGTATAGAATGGAGAACACAAATGATTTTGGGGTTCACACATACAGTATTTGTTTAAATATCGGGTGGCATGTCCAAAGAGGCACTGTTGCAGGCCTAGGAATAACAATTTCAGATTTATCAACATAAAAATATATATTTTTTAAATATCTGACTGCAAGAGGGAGTCCAATGGGGGACTGTTGTAGGCCTGTGAAGAAAAACGTCTTTAGATGCACTAGACAAAATGAGAGATGCTATTAAAGAGCTGAGACCATTTAACTTTGTAGAAATATGTTACAAATATCAATAAAAAACAAAAATAAAAGACAACATGTGCTGGAATTGTTCCTGACAAAGCTTAATTCCAGGATTGACATTGTCTGTGACAGATGTTTTATTTCCGGACATGCCCTGTTGGCATACTGACAAGGTGCTGCAGTGTTATAAGCCACATATATGTTTTTTGTCTTTCTAAATAGATATTATTGCACCTGACAATTAAAAGGATGATGAAATTGATATACAATCAGAAATATACTAATTTACCTGTAATATTTCCATCAGATACGGCCGGTGCCTGCCAACTTAATACAACCGATTGTCGATTATCTCGACCCATAGCAAGAGTTATATTATGAGGGTACAACTCCTGTCTAGTGGTCTGCGATTCAGACCCTGTCTTCTCTGTTCTGTTCTGTGCCTGTGAATTCGGGTCTGGCGTCTGTGAACTGTTCGCATAACTCGAGTTTATTAGAGATGCGGCACGATTAGCCTTTAAAACTGGAACCAGAAAATGGAATCAAGCCCTTGAAATTGTTTTGGCGCATGCAGGATTTATTACTCCAATCAAAATCAACATGGTCAGACAAACAAGTTTTGTAAATTGCAATAATAAATTACACTAGTATGTTTCAGAAACAAAAACTTCAAATCAAAATGTTTTTTATATTCTTTAAAACCTTCTTACGAAGAAAGTATTTAGTTCTTTACAACCAGTCAATAAATCTACTTATTTTTTCATTGAATATTAAATTTCCACATTGGTACATGTGGACAAACTGATTTAATAAAGATCGTATTTTAATTCTAATTTTAATGACAAGCAAGCATAATCTATCTAGTATACAACACTTAAACTGCTTTGTTAATTATAATTAAAAACAATTTCTATATCCTAAAAAAAAATTAAAATTTTTAACCAACACAAAGTTCAATATTTAAATTTACAACATAAAAACAAGCATGCTCTATGAATTATTTTACATCCAAACGAAGCAAAGTATTAAAAAAAAAAATCTTGTTATGACATGAGGTTGAAATGAATATTTTCCACAAATATAGGTTATTTTACTTGAAGATTTTAATACTTTTGTTTTCAAAAAGTCAGATCAAGGGCAGAGTGTTGCTAGGTTATTCACAGTTTAATCCAGCTAATAAGAGAGAGAGAAATGGGGTTTAATGTCATTTTGGGACTAACATATGGTTCAATTTTATTCCAATAGTTTACTTGGTGCCCCCCCCCCCCCATTTTGTACTACAGACACAAAAGCATAAACCGTACGCCTTCTTGTTGCTGTGAATAAGCCAAACTCCAGATGATAGGACAAATTTAAACAGGGATTGTATTTTTGGAAAGCTTTGGATGAGGACTATTCAAATATGCTGCTAACTCTATCTTCATAAAAATGACCACGAGCCTGCAGTGGGAGCCTCTCACAATATTGGATTCAAAATCCTTCACAAATGACATTCATAAACTATAAACTTTATTCTTTACTGTTCCTGCCTCATAATCACAATATAAGCATATGTTTTCTTATTTACAAAATACTCTCAAAATATCTGGTCTTAAAGAGAAACTACATCATTTCGGGACTTAGATATGATTCAATTTCATTTCAATAATTCACATAGGGGTCTTTAGCAGTGGGCGGAAACTGGAGGACCCATTGAAAACCCACAAGGTGGGACAGGTGACCCTACTCCTTGCCATGTACAATCCTGAAATTGAAACCATGCCACTTGGCTCAATGACAGACCTTCTGGATCTAATGTGCTAACAAATATAAACCATTCGGCCATCCAACCCCCTTTCAAAAAGAAGATATTTGGTATGTATTTCAACTATATAATTATGATAACAGAATCCCTAAAGATCTGGACATGAAAGGCGTATTTATTACAATAACAGATAGAATCATCAACCATAACAAAAAACCATGTTTTATGTTAGAGAAGTGGACAAGTGATATATATATTATCATCACTTGTCTACAATCAACTATAACTAATCTATACAACAGAAAAACATGGATATATACCCTGCAGGCTATACACACTATATTTACATGGTAACATGTTAATACCCTGCATGTTATACATGTTTACATGGCAACATGTTTTTACCCTGCACTTATACATGTTATAAGGCAACAAAACCAGAGAGAGAGAGAGAGAGTGGGATGAGGTTTAATGTCTACTTGACACAAACTTGGTCACTTTGGGACTAACATATGGTTCAATTTTATTTCAACAATTCGCGTGCACGTAGGGGTCTTTAGCAGTGGGAGGAAACCGGACGATCCGGAGAAAACGCACAAGGTTGGACAGGCAACCCTACTCATTGTCACGTACAACCAGGTAATCAAAACCACGCCAGTAATTGACTCGATGACAGACCGTTTGATACAGCAAGCGCTAACCATTCGGCCATCCAAAACCCTGCAACAAAAGCATGTACGTAAACTATTTCACAGCGGTAATAATGAAAGCCTATATTTAAAACTGCATAACCTGACCTTTAAAGCCACGGCCAGTATATTATAGTTATAGTATTTCTACAGATGTTAGGTCTGGGAAATATTCCGTTAAAATAACTGTAGAAATAGGATTGTCGAGACAAAAGTGCGGTGGGTGGGTGGGAACACGAAAATGGTATAAAAGGGCCCAATATTTATTTATTATACGCCTATACTATTTTATGTATCTTTTCACATTAAATGGAAAATATATCTTTATCAATATTTACTTCAAACATCTTTATTTTTTTTTCTTAATAATTTAAAGAATTGTTATAGAATTTAATTTGTCAAAGAAAAAAAGTTAATATTGAGAGCTAACTAACTCGCTATGATGTCATCCCTCTCAGTGACAAGTGAACATTTACTACTGATACAGTTTGGCTTGGTTTGTGTACTGGTACATATTGACCACCACAGTCAGTAGTCTACCATGAAAAAAAATTAGAACGAAATGATATTTTTCTCATTGAGTTTTGTAGTTTATTTTCAAAAATTCCCCAAACTCTGGCTCCCAAAACCACTACAGATCACCAGGTCTCTGTAACACTCCGGCCCCAGTTGCCCTTATCCCCTAAATTTCAATCATGGGGCATGGGGCAGCCCTTTTGTACCCACCAATCCCCAATAGACAAATATATGCAGATTATTTTACATTTGTCTAATTAGCATGCTTTAATAAAATGGCCTAAAACACACCAAGAAAGTTCCTTGGGATGTTCAGTTGTTGCTCCGACTTGTCAGTGGTGCAAATAGGAGGGCCTGACAAGGACAGCTGTGTAGTCATTTGGATGGGATGAACGATGGAGGTCCCATGTACACATTGGCATGCACATAAAGGAACCCTTGGCAGTTGGAATTTGATATAAAAGCAGCCGACAGCGCTGCTGTCCAGGCAAAATTTCTCTCATAGTTCACTGTATGGGAGTCTTCATAAGGCCAGTCGAAGCAGAACAGTCGGCTGTTAAACCTCATTTCATTTCAACCTAAAACACAGTTTGAACCATGAAACTAGGAGTTTTTCTGTCTGGCCTTAATATACATGTTGATGGGTAAAGATAAGAAAATTTACTCTGTCAGCAAGTTTGATAGTAGATGCATAAAGATGGCTAAAGAAAATAAAACTGGTGTACAACTAGCAATAAAATTATCTACATAGTACTTACAATTGATAGACATACTCTTGATAATATCTTAAAATGGCTAAATCTTTTTCATGTGGGTATGAACAAAAAATAATTCTGATTTCATTGGATTTTATAAGTTAATTTGTTTTGTGGAATGTCAGTCCGTCTTTGTTAAGAAATTAATGTCTATTGATGTTGCGATTTACTGTATTTTAAAATAGAGACAAGTGAGTTTAACCGGGGAAAATGAAATACTTATGTTTTTAAGATGCATTCTTATTATAGTTTCATATTTGTTTTTTCAACCCATTATTTTGACTTCGGATATCAGTATTCATCTTTGTTTATAACAAATTGTGCCATCCACTGTCAACACAAGAAGGCAAAAATTAAAGTAGAATTACAAATAGTCAAATTCCTGTTAATCATTTTCCATCACTTTATTGGGAGAGAGAAATGGGGTTTAATGTCCACTCAACATAAACTATGTCATTTCGGGACTAATATATGGTTCAATTTTATTTCAATAAATCGCTTGCGTGTAGTGGGAAAAAACTGGAGAAAACCCTCAAGATTGGAGAGGCAACCCTGCTCCTTGTAACATACAAGTTGGGAATGGAAACCACGTCCCTTGACTCAATGACAGACCTTATGATCTAAATCCCATGTGTTAGATCATTCGACCACCCAAACCTAACATCACTAATTAAAATACGATCAACCCAATATAATACTTTATTTTGACATAAATCAAAGAAAGTTAGCTTCTTTCAAGTCCTTTTTTTAATAACAATATTCTATCTCATTTGAAATTGGATTGAGGAACAGGCTAATAAGTCCTTCGATTCATTTATTTTTATCCGTTATACTTCATTCTACCTGAGCCTAAAGTACATCAAGTTATCACTTTTAGATGATTTTATATTTTATGTTATATTTTTAGCATGATATTAAATGTACGAAGTTATCACTTTTAAAACTTTCTTATCTTAAATAAAATAAGTTTCACATGAACACCTACTGATATGCTAAATACAGTAAATTATTACTTGGTGAAATTTGAATGCAGCTCAAACTTTGCTAGTTCTTTTAAAACATGATCATTATACTTCCAATAGAGAGAGAGAGAGAAATGGGTTTAACGTCCACTCGACACAAACTAGGTCATTTTGGGACTGACATATGGTTTAATTTTATTTCAATAATTCGCTTGCACGTAGGGGTCTTTAGCAGTGGGAGGAAACCGGAGGACCCGGAGAAAACCCACGAGGTTGGACAGGCGACCCTACTCCTTGTCACGTACAACCGGGGATTTGAAACCACGCCAGTCGACTCAATGACAGACTTTATGATACAGCACGCACACGCTAACCATTCAGCCACCCAACCCCCTACTTCCAATAGAAAAAGAAAGTTCTAATGAGTAAAACAAAAACACTGGCTATAGTGGCTATGTGTAAAATACATATTTTGCTTTAATAAAATCAATCTTAATGTCTAGGCACGGTTTTGAGAGTGTGAAATATTTTCATCAGAGGAAAATATTTGTGGCAAGTTTATTTACAATTCTTGTATCATTTTAAAGGATTCTCTTATAATATGAAATGAATTTGGATGAAATATTCATGATTACGTACATGTTAAAGGTGATTTATACATGATTTGGGTGAAATATATATGACTTGGGTGAAATATACATGATTGAATAGAAATATGAATGATTTGAGTGAAATATACATGATTTCTGTGAACTATACATGATTTGGGTGAAAAATACATGATTTCTGTGAAATATACATGATTTGGGAGAAATATACACGATTTCTGTGAAATATACACAATTTCTGTGAAATCTACACAATTTCTGTGAAATCTACATGATTTATGTGAAATATTTATGAATCGGGTGAAGTGAAATATACACGATATGGATGAAGTGAATATACATGATTTTGATGAATTGAAATATACATGATTGAAGTTAAATATACATGATTTTGATGAAGTGAACTATATATGATTTTGATGAAGTTAAATATACATGATTTTGATGAAGTGAAATATACACGATATGGGTGAACTGAAATATACTTGATTTCGATGAAGTGAACTATACATGATTTTGATGAAGTGAACTGTACATGATTGAAGTGAAAATATACATGATTTTGATGAAGTGAAATATACATGATTGAGTTAATGACTAAAACAAGCTGCAAAACAAATAATTAACAGATCATCAACAACAACAAAAAAATGTCTATAAATAATAAATCTATGTTTAATATGCAAAAATGTAGTGGGGAATTTACTAAGAACCGGGGCTCTGTCCAAAAACTTAACAGAATAATTTGGGGGCCTGACACACCATTGTTAATATGTCTAAATGGGATGCCAGGACCTTCTTTGTACCTACTCTAACTATTGGTAGTTTATGTATGTAAAACTCAAATCAAATGAAAATAATCTCAATAACTACCATATGATAAATAAATATATAAATATTTCCATCACTAGGACCACAGCAATTTATCCTTTAGTTCTTCAGAGTCTTGATAAATAAATACCCACTCCTGTCATGTGATCAATGTTACGTTTAAAATTTATAAAATTTTTGAACTAAATTTTTTTGAGAAGAGCAACTAAGTAGGCAGTCCTTCACGTTTAAGGGGAGCTTTTGCTCCTGCTCCTCTCGACGCACGTCGGCTTTCCTTCGAAGGAGTCATTAAAGACTCCTGCAAATTAGCTAAATCGCTCTCCTAAATATTGAGATTAATAAACTACTTTCAGTTTTTGTTAACTTTTAAACTGCATATATTCAAGGTATCAGGAGCTTTTTATGGCTCCCACACAATTTAATAAACATGAAGGACTGAGTAGGCTACTTTTTGTTTTGAAATTAATTTCTCTTCTGAAATAGGAAATAAGTAATTGGAGTTACTGAAGAACAAGAATCCAAACTGATGTGACCTAAAAGCAAATTTTAAACTAATCACTATTCACTGTAGTAGGCCTAACCATATTTTATAAATTTAAAGTCAAGAAACTGAAAGCCAAATAAAAAAGCCAAGATATTATAGTACTATTCTATGCCCAAGTATGTGAGAAGCTTCCCTTAAATTAAGAGCTTGTTCCCCCTTTCAAGAGACAAACACTTAAGTGATCTGATAAAATATGTGTATGCAGTGATAAAAGGTGATACATGGTAAGAGTTACTGCCCCTATTTTAATACAAGCAAGCTATAAACTACAATATCTACTGGTACCAAGCTCCCTGATATAAAAAAAAAACACACAAGCAAGATTCGGTATGTTAATATAGCAGAGTTTTTACAACAATAACTTTTCAAATTACACAGCAAAATACCAGGCTGGCATGGGCCACTTCACTCATGTACAAAAGAGACTTGACTATCATGATCTGCATGTACAGGCTTGGGTATAGGGTATGACTTATGATCATCAAGTCTCATCAAGAGAGGGTGAGAGCAAGAGATGAGGGGGGGGGGAGGATATCTAAATCCCACAGTAAGTGTTGCCCCAACAAATACAGTGAGCTAATAATTTGAGAAAAGCCTATATAGAACCCTTAATTTTAGAAATATCTGTGAACCCCCTTAGCACAAATGCGAGATTAATGTTCAAATACAATTATATCCCAATTATATCTCAAAGTTAATACTAAGGTTTTAAAAGGGGGATGGGGGGGGGGCTTATCTTTCAGAGAGAGAATGTTCAGAGAATGCTTTTTGCCCTTTTCTATCATTGGCCAAGTGCTTATGTGAAATGAATGGAGTTGTAATTTGGGCAAGTCCAAATAATTCAGTGATTGGAGGGATCGGAAGAGATGCCACAGCCTTTTTAAGTAAGAAGTTATTTTACACAAGTCAGCTAAAATTAAACAAACATTTAATATCCGAGCAGCAGTTTTAAAAACAGCAATGTATTGTTTAAAGCTATGTTATATAAGTGAGCAAGACCAACTACCTACAGTTAGAGAAGAAGTCAACTACGCCTAGGTGAACAAGCAACAAGGCAATACTACAGTTATCTTCTCCTACCTGTCTCTGTGTGTCGACACGCCTCTTTACATTCATCGATCGTAGCAAAACGGTTATCGTTGCCACCACAACCACCATACCAGAAGGGTGAACAGGAGATGGACTTGGTATCGAAATAATAAAACAATGTAAAGTTTCCACACTTTCCTCGACTCTTCTCGAGGCTACATCTTTCTGAAATATCCAACTTTGCTTTACTAGATCCACTATCAGTAATCTTTATCGAAGAATCCCGACGAACACAATTTTTAATACATTCAATACGGGAGGCGAACCTGTTTTCATTGCCTCCGCAACCTCCATACCAAAATCTCCGACAATTTCCCTGCTTGTGGTCGTAAAACCAATTTACAGTCAAATTTTGATTACGACAGGTACCGAAATCAGATGGGAGCTGACAGGATGCCAGTGTAAAAATGACGGGCATTAAGTCGGCCGCCATTTTTATAAAATTTATTTAAAATAATTATTTCACCAACGCCAACAATTTTTTAAATGTAATCCAAAATGTCTAATTATATAAAATTTTAGCTATTAAATGTTTTTTAGTATAAAAAATTAAAAATAATCCACGTAATACACCTCATAGAAGAAAACACAATTTTTTTTTTTTTTTTTTCAAAATATAAAACCACTAAACAAAAATTAAAAACTGTATCACTTTGATCTGGCACAAAAAAACACAATACTGTCTGATGAGTAAAAAATATGACACACAACTTTTAAAATCTCCAAAACATATCCAAAATAATTTGCTGATATCCAAGAAATCTAAAAGTCAGGACCACACATTGCTGTTTTACTGTCGGACACAAGAGTTATGTCCAGCTGTACAAACTGAGAAGCGTTGAGTGAGTGAGTATAGTAACTGATATTGAGCCCACTGGCCTACCTGTCTTGATATCTCAAGGCTAGCTAGCTCTGTGGGCCGGCTTGCTGATATCTTAAACGTCAGGTATCCACCAAGTTAACTCTTAGTGTAAAGTGAGTAAGTCTTTTAACGGTTTGTCTAGCCAGGAGACCAGTGGTGGGCCGTTTGATTACTCCTGATAGACTTATTTACAATACAGCTAAACACTGCTACACACACAATTCTCAAGTAGAATACATTGACTCCCTCCTAACATAAACTCTCTCTCATTTAAAACAGACTCTCATATCTTTACTTATTGAGGGGAAAACATGGAGAAATAACTGATATAGATAACAAAGTTACTTACAAAATCTGATTCAGATTTTAATTCAAAAGACACTTGAGACGTTGAGCTGATATATTGTCTTGTCAAGAGGACTTTAAATAAACAGATGAGATTTTTAGTAAACATGCTAATTCATATTTTAAAGTTATTGTCACCCTCCCTGCATGGATCTGTACACTTTCTAATAAGGTATCCGTTTTTTCTTCGTCAATTGAAAACCATACTGCATATATATCAATACAGGTAAAAATTGACTCATGAGAGAAAGAGCGAGAGTATGGTTCTTATTTGATTAATTCGCATACAGCAGAAAACCCACAAGATTGGGCTGGCGATTTTACTTCTTGGTAACGAAACCACACCACTGCACTCAATGACAGACCATGTGATCTAAAGTGTGTGCTGTATTTCCATACTAGATGCCATTGAAGCAACCTTCCTGATATAATAAATGGAATGAAATGGGGTTTAACCTTCTACTGTTCTGCTCTGACCGAGCTAATGAAGACAGGCATATGCCATACTGTGTGCTATGAGGGAAGGGAAATTTTGCAGAGACAGCGACACTAATGCCTAGTCTTATATCAAATTCCAACTGCCAGGGGATCTTTTATATACACGCCAATGTGTACACAGACTTTGGTTTTGTGTCCCATCTGAACAACTAGACAGCTATCCTTGTCAGGCTCTCTGGCCTGCAACACTGACAAGGGGAAACCACATTATAAAATCTGCAAAAGAGAGAGAGAGAGAGAGAGATGGGGTTTAATGATTACTTGGAACAAATTACTTGGAACTAGATTACTATGGAACTAACATAGGGTTCAATTATATTTCAATAATGCACTTGCATGTGGAGCAAACTGGAGAAAACTAGAGTAGATTTTATGTGCATTAAACCATGAAAGATTGGACATTGCTCAAAAAAAAAGCAGAGATGATCAGTAGCTTTAAGTTCTGTGTATAATTAGTATTCATCATATATTTTATTCATTTTAAAATCTAGTTATGGGTTGATCTGGTAAATTTGTCCACCTGCCAAATTATGAGCTACAAGCTAGTGTCTGGCTCAGCATGTAATATTAACTCTGGAGTAGAGTTTCAGTTTTACACATGAATATACGATACACACAAAATAGTGCATGAAAATATTGTTTGCATGATATCAAATGTGATTAACAAGTTTAACTGTGAATATATTACACATCTACTACATAAAAATATCGCTTGCACAATATTAATATGATTGTAAATGTGGATATATTACCTATATACTGCATGAAAATATTGCTTATATGATATTAACATGATTGTCAATGACTACAGATTGTACTCATTTAATATGCTCTTGAGGTCATAAAGCATGTAATCTATGTAAGTCATGGGTTCAACCCCGGGTTAGTATGTGACAAAGAGTAGGGATGTCTGGTGATCTGGTTACACCCCATTTCCAAAGACTAAACAGGATATGGTAGAAACAAGGTAGCACCACCTATAATATTTGCAAAAAATCTTTTGATGGGCCTCTTTCTTATCCGATTGCTAGGATTTATCTGTGCGAAAAACATAATTCACTTACATGCAGATGTCTTTAGCAAACGGGAGGACCCAGAGAAAACCCACAAGGTAGGACAGGTGACCATACTCCTTGTCAAACACTAGCAGGGAATCAAAACCATGCTACTTGACTCTATGACAGAACTTATGATCCAACACATACACGTTAACCACCAAAACCCTCGCCCAGATTTATCTTGATTTCTTTTTCTTAACCGTCACATAACCAGTTTAAAATCTGATACTGTTCGATAAATGCAAATGACCATCAGTAGAACAAAATTTGACTATAACAATGATAAAATTGATAAATTGAACCAATTAATTAATACTCAACAACCAGAAGATTTTGTATTTTCTTGTTAAAAGCTACATGCAGTATGTTATTGTTCAAGGGCCATTACTTGATATTGGGAAGTGACCCCTATTCTAAGGACATCAATATTTATTTCAAGGGTCAATGACTTCTATCTAGGGGTTAATATTTAAGAGAATTTATTTGACACCTATTTTACAAACCCCTTTCATCCTACACCAGGATCATTGAGTCAGGCTCCGATTACAATGATATTTAGAATATTCTCTATCCAATGTTACAACTGATGATAAAATTTGGAAGAATCAAATGAACTTTAGGAATTTGTGTCCTGTTAAAATGTTGAAAAAGAGGAGTCAAATTAACAATATTCTGTGTCAAGTTAAAAGGTTGAAACTGATAAAATTAGGAAATGTTAATTAATGATCTCTAGGAATTTGTGCCATTATCAGATTACAGGTATATACAAGGTTTTAATGATCATGAATAACTTTAATTGGTTCAAGGTAATTATCATCTGGGAAGTTGTAAAAAGTTAGAAATGAGATAGAGAGAGAGAAAGAGAGAGAAATGGGGTTTAACGTCCACTCAACACAAACTAGGTCATTTCGGGACTAACATATGGTTTAATTTTATTCCAATGATTCGCTTGCGCGTAGGGGTCTTCAGCAGTGGGAGGAAACCGGAAGACCCGGAGAAAACCCACAAGGTTGGACAGGCAACCCTACTCCTTGTCACGTACAACCAGTTGACTCAATGACAGGCTTTATGATACAGTGCGTACGTGCTAACCATTTGGCCATCCAACCCCCCAAAGTTAGAAATAAAATAAAAGAACAAAAAATATATTTCCAACTTGAAATTATTAATTTTACTGTTGAAAATTGAGGAAGTTCAAACATCATCTATTGTACATTTATAGGCATTTAAGATATCTGGTTTGATAGGGAGGTTGAAAAGGGGCTCATATTAAACATTTTCATGAATATTATAATCATTATTATTTCATAAATGTAAATTTATTTTAAGAGTCAAAAATGTTTCATTCGATCTCTTTTGATACTTGTGAATTAAAGATTGTTTATAGTAAATATTTCACAATTTGATCCTACAATGTGTATTTAATTTGGGTATTTTATTTTGCAGCAGTTGTGTGCTATGAAAGTGTACAATATAAATAATAATAATAATAATAATATCAAACACTGTGTATACATTAGAGAATAGACAAATCACAACTTTCTACCAATCTGGAAGAATAATCAACTTGTTTATCGTCCTAAAAATCTGTCTTCTCACGAACCAAACGGCTGTGTGCAACCAACGTTGTTTCAAATATGCATCTATCTTTACATGTATGTACATTCACTGACATATGATCTCCGAGACCCCGCTAGCGTTTCTAACTACGATACTCCCGCCAGCCAGCGTTTCTAACCATCCCTAATATGTAAATGTATATAACTACCGGTCTCTGTTCACTGACACATGTTTGTGATTTAAGTGCAAATTCTTTTTTTTTTAAAAATTTAAATTAACAGATTCTTTAAGACTTCTGTGAGAATAAAGGTTTGGGATTTAAAGAAAGATAAAATGGAACTGTCTCCACCCTGCTCCGCCCACATCTTCAAGGATGTCTGTTAACACAAGATCAATTGCTGTTAAATGAAGGAAATGAAATTTAATCTCCTACTTTTCTGTATATGCTGTACAGTGTGCAATGAGGAAAATTTTGACTGGACAAAAATTAAATTCCAACTACCAAGGGTTCTTTTACGTGCAGGCCATAGTTTTTCATCCTGACCAAGAAATAATTGTAATTAATTTCATATATCATAAAGTCCTTAGATCTAATTATTGAAAATTAATGGAGCGAAACTCCAGGAAAGAGTTGGGATGTCTGTTATAAGACAGTGTCAATTGCAGTTAAAAGAGATCCTCCCTATCTTTTGCTAGAATATAGAAATATGTGGACCATCTATTTCAGATGAAACAACTGTGCCGCCTAAACAATTTGTAGCAATTAGTCTAGTGGTAGAAAGTAGAAGGGTGTTACACCATCCCTGTCTATAGCTGGGGAGCTGGGAGCACCTTTTACTATG